ATAAAAGAGGAGAGTGAAAAACCTGGCTTAAAACCCAACATTCAAAAAATGAAGATCATGACATCTGGTCTCATAACTTCATGGCAAATAGATGGGTGGGAAATGGAAACAGTGACAGATTTTATTTTCTTGGGCTCCAAAATCACTGCAGACGGTAACTGCAGCCATGAAATTAAAAGATGCTTGCTTCTTGGAAGAAAAGCTATGACAAACCTAGATAGCATATTAAAAGCAGAGACATCACTTTGCTGACAAAGGTATGTTTAGCCAAAGCTATGATTTTTCCACTAGTCATGTATGGATTTGAGAGCTGGAGAATAAAGAAGGCTGAGCACCGAAGAATTGATGCTTTCAAATTGTAGTACTGGAGAAGACTCTTGAAAGTCCCCTGGATAGCAAGGAGATCAAACCAGTCAGTTCTAAAGGAAACCAGCCCTGAATATTCATTGGAAGGATTGATGCTGAAACTGAAGCTCCAGTACTTTGGTCACCTGATTCGAAGAGCCAACTCATTGGAAAAGAACCTGATGCTGGGAAAGATTGAAGTCAAGGAGGAGAAGGAGGTGGCAGAGGATGAGATGATTAGATAACATCACTGACTCAATAGACATGAGTTTGAGCAAACTCCGGGAGATAGCAAAGACAGGGAAGCCCGGGGTGCTGCAGAGAGCCAGACACAACTTAGTGATTGAACAACAAATGTTTTCTTCTTTTCTTTAATTGAAATTGAATTGTTTGTTGAAGCAGTTCTTCCAGAAGGTATCTTTGTCCCTTGTCATGCTCTCTTTTCCATTTCCTTTTTGTATTATCTTGGCTTGCATCTCCTGTTGGATCTCTTCTGTTTATCAGTCCTCTTTAAATAGGGATAGCTTTATCTGGTACTGAGGGTAAATTTGTCACTCAACCCTGTTGACCTTGGCTTCCTTCCAAAAGCAGACTGGCTCTCTGGATGTTGTCATTGGTTTGTAATCTCTGTTTACCTGTTTGGTTTCTTGGATGAATAGAGGTGTATGACCTGGATTAGTAGGCAGTTGAGTGGCTCAGTTTGGGTATGTTGCCTCAGAATATTTTTCACACGAGTCTGATGAATTATGATGAATTATCTACCATGGGGGCCTGTGTAGCCACGGGAGGAGGTCTCCTGTGAGATCTGAACTATCTCTCCACAGACAAGAAGGTCACTCTGGTTGCCAGCTAGCACTATGTGGCACACGGGGTTTTGGTATGATGAGTCATCTTCTGTTTATTTCTGTTGAAATAACTTCAATCCACAGTTGCACAGTTGACTTTTAAGCTGTCCTCTCTTTCCTATGTGAAAGGTTACTATATGAAAGGATGATGCTTGGTCCTTCATGACTTTTACTAAAACACTTCACCTAAGGCTCAGAGAGAAAAATGTTAGCTTTGGGCATCATTCTTCAATGCACCTAATTTTTATTGTATCTGACAATGTAGTATAATGATTATTCAGAGTATAATGATTACTCTGACCCTGAGGTCAGAGTGCCTGAGTTCAGATATTGATTTTGCTACCAACTGGCTGATGACCATGTGCAAATTTATTTAACTTTTCTGGGTTACAATTTCCCATCTTTGAAATGGAGCTAATGATATGAAGATGAAATGAATTAATACAAATAAAAGGATTTAGAGCAAAGCCTGGCATAAACTAAGTGTTCAATAGGTGTTAGACTTGTATATTTCTTACTATATTTCTTGTAGTCCAGGTTAGAGGGTAAATGTTCATCTCCTCCACCATCTTTTTAAAAAAATATTTATTTATCTATTTGGCTGCTCTGAGTCTTAGATGCAGCACACAGGATCATTCGATCTTCGCGTGGGCATGTGGGATCTAGTTCCCTGACCAGGGATGGAACCTGGGCCCCTGCATTGGGAGCTCAGAGTCTTAGCCACTGGACCACCAGGGAAGGCCCTTTTCCACCATCTTTACAAGAACTTCTTGAGGGTTAAATTCAAGAAATGTATAGAAAACCCCTAGCACAGTGCTTAGCACATAATAGGTCCTCAAAACATGTGTTGACTGTTAAATAATGAGTATGGAGGAAGGGTCCAGTGAGGGGCAGAGGTTAGCAGAAGCTTTAGGAGTCTGTCTTTGCTCTGGGCCAAGACTATAGAATATGCCCCCTGGACTTCCCTGACGGTCCAGTGGTTAAGAATCCTCCTGCCAATGCAAGGGACACAGGTTGGATTCCTGGTCTGGGAAGATTCCACATGCCACAGGGCAACTAGGCCCATGCACCACAACTATTGAGCCTGTGCTCTAGAGCCTTTGAGCTGCAACTACTGAAGCCCATGCACATACAACCTGTGCTCCGCAACAAGAGAAGCCACTGAAATGAGACGACCACACACCACAATGGAGTGCTCTGACCTCTGCAACTAGAGAAAACCCAAGTGCAGCAGTGAAGACCGAGCACAGCCAAAGATAAAATAAAATAATTGAATTATATACAAATAATACGTCCCCTTTCCTCCCATTCAGACACCAAGCAGATTTAAATGCTTGCCACCAGCCAATCAAAGAGAAGTAAGATTCCAGGAGTTTGCAGGCTTAGAGTTTTTCTTACACCACCTTGCTCACTTGGATTCTAAATACTGAAAGATAATTGCATCAAGCAAACAAAAGCCCAGCGATCTCACACTTTAGTCCAGTCTTTAAGCTAAACGTAACAATATTCATACAATTCCAATTACTAAGAAGGATTTATGTTTATTTACACAAACACAGCCTTGGGATAATCTCAAGCTAATCTTTTTTAGCTTAATGATGGGCTGAAGTGTTAACTTCTTATAATTTTCAAGAAATTCGGCCAAGGGCTTCCCTCGAGGCTCAGTGGTAAAGAATCTGCTAGCCAATGAAGGAGACTCGGGTTCAATCCCTGGTCCAGGAAGATCTCACATGCTTCCCAGCAACTAAGCCCATGCGCCACAACTACTGAGCCTGTGCTCTAGAGCCCGGGAACCACAACTACTAAAGCCCAAGCACTCTAGAGCCTGTGCTCTGTGACAAGAGAGGCTTCCGCAACGAGAAGCCTGTGCATTACAACTAGAGAGTAGCCCCTCTTGCCACAATAAGAGAAAAACCCGCACAGCAACAGAGACCCAGCAAACCCCAAAATAAATAAATAGATTTAAAAAAAAAGAAATCCCGCCAAAATGTGATAAGGATTTGGAGAAGTTTATGGAACCCAACTGTGGGAAATACATCTAAACACACAAAGTCACAGGTGACTACCCTCTCCATCACTCTCTAGGAGTGAGTGTTCTTCCAGCCAATTAGGATTAGGTTCAGCTGTAAAAGACAGAAAACCAAAAATAACAGTGAATTCAAGTAGGTAAAACTTTTTTTCTCTCCAGTGAAGGTGGGCAATCCAGTTCCGCCGCATCAGAGACTCCTTTTATCTTGCCATTCTCGGCATGTGGCTACTGCATGGCTCTAGATGGCTGCTTCAACCTGTGCCATTTCATCTTCATTCCAGTCAGCAGGAAGGAGAAAAGAGGAGAAGTAGGGCATGCCTTTCACATTAAAGATACTTCCTAGAAATTGCACAAAACATTTCTATCTATATCCCATTGGCCAGAACACAGTCACCTCGTCACATCCAGCTGGAAGGGAAGCTTGGCTGTGTGGTCTTTATTCCGTGTGTCTTACTAAAAGTCTAGGGTCTCTATTATTGAAGAAGAAGAGGTGAATATTGAGGAACAACAAGCAGTCTCCACCACTCATCTATACTTCTCTCCCCAGATTGGTTCTTTCTCTTCCCTGCAGACCAGGCTTCTCTGTTCACAGTATCTGACCCCTCACACGGCCCACTTGTACAGATTTTGGGATGGCCACAATGTCGGCTCTTAGCTCAACTCCACAGGTCTTTTTTCAGTTCAAAAGCTGCACATGGTCTAGTCACCTCAGCCTCTGTGTCTCCATTCCAATTTCCTAGAGAGAAAAACTGATTGGTCCTATTGGGTCAGGTGATCATGTCCTCAATTCTGAGCCAAACCTCTGAGGCCTCAGCCATGGCAGGGCTCTCCCTTTTAGGAGGGGATGGAGCAGGTCCTCTCAGGGGTGTAAGTGGGAGGAACTGGTGATCCCACCTGGTGAGTCCTCCTTCCAAGCTTCCTCCTGTCATAACACCCAGCCCACTGGATGAAATTTGTCAGTTTGCTCTTCCTGAGGGCAGGAATAATCATCTTTTCCCCAGAGCCTAGCAATTACCTGGCACACTCAACTTTTGTGGTAGAGTGAATAATCCAGTCTAGTCCTTAATCGTGCAGAGGTTGAATGCTTGCCCAGACATACACGGTAGGGCACGACAGGAGCAGCATGGGAACCCAGGAACCCTGATTCCCTGTGCCTGAAGAGATTTCCCTGGATTACCCGGCTCTATGTGTCTGCTCCATTGTTCAGCATTTGTCTCTGTGCCCCTGCCCGGGGTTGCAAAGAATCTCCCCCACACGTGGCCCACGAGAGCCCTAGGCTGGAGGCTATTGGTTACACTGCTCAGAGTCCATTTCCTTTCTCGGTCTTCCTGGTGAGGTCAATGTCTCCCCACAGCTCCAAGCTGGGCCCCTTTGGGGAGGTCTTGCCCTGACAAGGCCTGATCAAGCTAGGCTCTGGATGCAGGGACACTCAAACGAGTGGGCTGAGTAAGGAGACAAAGGTGGGAGAGATTTCCATGGCCACCCACCTGGGGCTGCTCTCAGAGGAGCACCCAGCCATAGAAAAGAGTGGGAGGGAACTTCCTTGGCTGTCCAGTGGTTAAGACTATGTGCTCCCAGTGCATGGGACACAGGTTCAATCCCTGCTTGGGGAACTAAGATCCCACATGCCATGCAGCACACCATGGCCAAAAAAAAAAAAAGAGCTGCTGCCGCCCCCTCCATCACTGTCCTACTCCCCAGCCCCTGTGACCTTCCCTCCCGCCCCCTCCAGTTCCCCCATAACTCACTGGGCCTTCCTCTCACGCTGTCTGCACCCACAGGCCTCGAACCCTCTGTGGCAGTCCCGGAGCTCCACCACTGTGTCTTCAGGGGGCCGTTTCCGCTGCCCATCTTGCAGGCACGAGGTGGTCCTGGACCGACATGGCGTCTACGGCCTGCAGCGGAACCTGCTCGTGGAGAACATTATCGACATTTACAAGCAGGAGTCCTCCCGGTGAGCTGTTAGGGTCTCATTTCTCTAAAGTGCAGGGCCTGGGACATAGCCAGGGAGCCCATCAGGGCCAGCAGGGAGAAGCTGAAACGATCAACCTGCCTCTTCAGTTTAGTGACGAGAGGAGGAGGAGGGACTTGCCCCCAGCTCGGTAGGTCACCAGCTCAGGCGGACTCTGATTCTTGGTCAGCGCTTCCCCCTCTTCACCTGGGAGGGGCTGGCCGTCCACCAGCAAGGTCCTTGCCAACCCTCCATGACCTCCCTCCCGTGGGACTTCCCTGCCCCCTGGAATAGAAACTACTCTTGGATCTAGGCCTCCTGCACCTTGGATGTAGCTCTGTTCCTCAAGTGAAGAGGAAGTCGCCCGCCTGCCCAGCCACAGCAGCAGCTGTCGGGGCACAGAGGGTGGCAGTGGCTGGTGGAGGCGGAAGAAAAAGTGCTCAGGGGGCCTCACACGCTTGGCCCCCCTGCCTGGCCCCTGACCCCCCTCCCACCCTGCCCACTCCCCCGCAGTCCACTGCATTCCAAGGCTGAGCAGCACCTCATGTGCGAGGAGCATGAAGATGAGAAGATCAATATCTACTGTCTGAGCTGTGAAGTGCCCACCTGCTCTCTCTGCAAGGTCTTTGGTGCCCACAAGGACTGTGAGGTGGCCCCACTGCCCACCATTTACAAACGCCAGAAGGTATCAAGCAGCAGAAGGAGCAAGCATGGGGCGGCGGGGGAGGCGGGGCAGTGGGGATGCAGGATGGGATCTCAAAGTGCAGCCTCTTACTCCACTTGACTTCAAAGGCAGGCAGATCAGGGCTGAAGTCCCAGCTCAGAGTGTGACCTTGGGTAAGTCACTTGACCTCTCTGGCCCTGATGTTCTTCCTCACTTGTAAAATGGGAATGAAAGTGCTTACACCTGAGAGTTTTAAGGATCATATGAGAAATGGATGCAGTATGGTGAACTCTCAAGGCCATCTCACTGTCATACAAGTAGATTCTACATAAAACGTTATTTAAAATTAAGGGACTCCTCTGGAGGTCTGGTGGTTAAGCTTCCAGTGCAGGGGGCACTGGTTCAATCCCTGATTGGGGAACCAAGATTCCACATGCCATGCAGTATGGCCAAAAAATGAATTAATCAGTTAATTTTTTAAAAAATAATTGAAAAAATAAAATAAAAATTAAATTAGTAGACAGGTAGAAAGTAAAGGAAAAATAAAAAAAAGAAAGTAAAGGAAAGCTCCAAGTGTGGGTGAGGTAGGGAGAGAAGGTGGGAGAGTGAGATGTGAACAGAACCCTGAATGATAAGCATGGGAAAGGTAGGATTTCCCATAGGCAAATTATTACTGAACTAGACAGATGAGACTATGCCTACAAACTCCTGAAACTTGGGGGACCTACAACAAAGACCCCCAAGGATCACAGAATACACTGGAATCCCAGGAATCCCTGGAGTGGTCAGTTGTGCCACCTGGCTTTTGACTAAAGCAAATGCAAATTCTGCCTGGTGGAAAACCCTCAATTTAGGCCTTGGGTTTTTCTTAGATTAAGATCAGCGTAAGATGAGCTCACAATTGAAGATAAACAAAGAAACATACTCATGAGTAAAGTCAGCAGAAACAAAATTTTCAGATTTAGACCCTCAAGAAATTAAGATACTGGTATTATTAAAGAAGGTAAAGTCAGCTTTGTATAAAATGCTTTAAAAATGGAATTTAAAAATAAGCAATAGTAGACTATCAAAAGTGCAGATTTGATAAAGAACCAAACGGAGCTTTTAGAAATGAAAATATAATTGTAGAAAACAAAACATTCAAGGGACGAATTAAATGACAACTTCCTCTCAGTAAGAGAGGACTGGGGAATTCCCTGGCTGTCCAGTGGTTAGCACTCTGTGCTTTTACTCTCAAGGGCCTGAGTTGGGGAACTAAGATGCCACAAGCCACACAGCATGGCCAGGAAAAAAAAAAAATTTTTTCACATAAAGAAATTTTAAAAGGGAAAGAGAGGACTGAAAAAATATCTTAGAATATAGCACTGGGAGATGAGGAGGTTGGGAATGAGAAGGTCTAACATATATCTAATCAGAGTCCCAGAATGAGAAAAATAAAGAGAAAGGAGAAGAGGCAATATTATCTTAACAGATAATCCTGAAGACCTTTTCAAAATTGGTGGATGATAAAGCACGCAGCCCAGTGCCTGGCATTTGGTGGATATTTGGTGAATGTCTCTTCCTTACTTGGAGGTGGAGGACTTCCTATCTCCACTTCCTTCCAGAATTTATAGACTGTGCTTCCAAACTTCTTGAATGGTTCCAAACTCTCTAGATCTCTGTCAGAGTTGCCCTGAGGATGCCCTGATGGTGGAGTGGAGGGCAGTCCTCTCCTGGGTAGCCCTGGACAGGGAGGGAGGGACTTAGCTCCAGACTAGGTCCTCCAGCCCTGAGTGCTGGCCTCTGTGTGTGGCAGAGTGAGCTCAGCGATGGCATCGCGATGCTGGTGGCCGGCAATGACCGTGTGCAAGCAGTGATCACACAGATGGAGGAGGTGTGCCAGACCATTGAGGTGAGCCTGGAAAGGGAGGGAGGAAAAGTTGCTGGGCTCCTGGAGGTGAATCACAAATGGTAGAATGTGCTTACTCAGGCTGCTAGGTTTGAATCCCAGCTCTGTCCTCCCCTGAGACTGGTCCAGTGACTTGACTTCTCAGTGTTTGGGTTTGCTTGTTTTTAACTATGTAAAAGAGTGATGATGAGAATGATATGATGGCTACCTCCATGGAGCTTTTTGAGAATTAAGTGAGATAATACAAATAAAAACCAGAGTCAGAGAATTAGGCAGCAGCACTCATGAAACTCCTTTAAATATATAGTGTTATTTTCTGAGAGAGTAGATCTTAAAATTTCCCATCACAGGGAAAAATTTTTGTCCACTATGTATGGTGTTGGATGTTAACTAGGCATATTGTGGCGATCAGTTCACAATATATACAAATATTGGATCATTATGTTGTACACCTGAAGCTAATATGTTGTATGTCAATTAAACCTCAACAAAGTATATATCAGTATTATTACTGAAAAGATCTGGGAACCAGAAGCCCTGGGTGGAGTCCGGTCTCTGCCACTAATTTGTGGCTGTAATTGACAGGTCACAGCTCTTCTTGGCTCCCCGAGACTTCCATTAAGTGGGGAGTGGGACAAGTAGCCTGGTGCTCTCCCAGCTATGAGGTCTCATCCTTATTCCTGGTTTTTCAGGAAAACAGTCGGAGGCAGAAGCAGTTGCTGAACCAGAGGTTTGAGGGCCTGTGTGCGGTGCTGGAGGAGCGGAAGGGTGAGCTGCTGCAGGCGCTGGCCAAGGAGCAGGAGGAGAAGCTGCAGAGAGTCAGGGGCCTCATCCGCCAGTATGGAGACCACCTGGAGGCCTCCTCTAAGCTGGTGGAGTCTGCCATCCAGTCCATGGAGGAGCCGCAGATGGCGCTCTACCTGCAGGTGGGGCAGTGCCACCCAGGACGAGGGCATCAGAAATGGGATATTGCCGGAGGTTGGCACAGTGCTTACTCTCACCCTCCTTTCCTCCCTGCAGCAGGCCAAGGAGTTGATCAATAAGTGAGTAGGTGGAGTGGGAAGGGAGAGGAAGGGGTGGGCGGGGACTCCACTGACAAGGGTGGGAAAGGGGTGGTGGTGCTTGGAGTCTCCAGCTGAGCCGCTGTGGCTGCTGCAGGGTCGGGACGATGTCGAAGGTGGAGCTGGCCGGCCGGCCGGAGCCAGGCTATGAAAGAATGGATCAATTCACCGTGAGCGTGGAGCATGTGGCCGAAATGCTGAGAACCATCGACTTCCAACCAGGTGAGGAAGACAGGATGTGAGGAAGCGGCCGGCCGCTAGGTCTGGGAGTCCAGACCCTCTGGGTCGGGGAGGGATGGGGGTAAGACGTCCAGAGTATAAGGGACCCCAACTCACCCAGCCTTCTCCTGGCCTAGGCACTTCTGGGGAGGAAGAGGATGAGGAGGTCGCGGTGGAAGGGGAAGAGGGCAACGCAGGACCAGAGGAAGAGCGGACGGATGGGCGGGAAAGTGAGTGTGGACATCGGCGGGGCCTGGCGGGGACCCCCTTCCACCGTCGGGCCATCGTACTCTCCGGGGCATCAGGGATCGCTTGGAGACCCTACTCCCAACATCAACCAGGAGGGGCGCGCCCCCTAGCGCGCCGGCCGAAGTACAACTTTCTTTAACACTATCCATCTCTCTGGGCTGGTGGGAGACCGGGTTAGGTGGGGCAGTGGAGGAGAAACCCTCCTGCCTGGAGAAACGAGTGAGCTGGGCTTCGGAATTGCCTTGTTTCTTGGGAGCGCCCGCCCACTGAGCTTTCTTTCCCAGACACAGGCCAGCACTGACTCGCTCCTGTTGCGGATCCTGCGCACCCGGGTCCTGGCGCTCGCATGGTAAACGACCTGAGCAGAGACCACCATGCCACCCAGCCCGGCGCCCCGCCGCGGGGGAGGGGCTCAATAAAGAGCTAATGCGTCCCGACCCGCAGCTCCTTTCACTGCTCACTCTCTCAGCTTCTGCTTCGGAGACATAGCATCACCATCCATCCCGCCCTTCTCCAAATCTGGGACCTCTTGGGGCGGGGACGGGTGGGGGTGGGGGGTGAAGCGGAACGAACCCTTTTGGGGCACCTCCTTGATATTAGGCACGGATTCGCGAGCCCAGTGCCAAGAGAAGAGAGTCGGGGGTGGTGTGGCGACACTGGGGCTTGACTTCCTGGGAGACTTGGAGACAATGGGGACCCCAGGACCCTGGCATAAAGCGGTTCTCACGGAGCCCTCCCACAGCATTTGGTTCCCTCTCGCCGGCCTGGGAGACCCCACTTTCCCACGGGTTCACACCCTGCTGTGGCTCCCCGCGCCCCCACAACAGAGGCCAACGGCTCTTCAGCACTTTTATTAAAAACCCGTAACGCGGAGAGTGCTCAGGGTAGCCCCAGGCCGCTCTAGCCCCGCAGGACTTGGTCAGTTCCTGTCGCTCACGTCTCAACCCTGAGGTGGAGCATTGGGGGTCGAGATTCTCGGGGCCCCAGACCCGCCGATCACTTGCCCACCGAGTCGAATATGATGCGGTTCTGCTCGGCGCGCTCCCTCTGGCTCTGCGTCCGCGCGAGTTCCAGCAGGGTCCGCAGCAGGTGGAAGGTGAGGTCAATGGACAGGGGAGGGTCGTCCCGTCGCGGCCGCTCGCCTGCGGATTCCCACCGGCCCTGCTCCAGCCGGCGGCGCGGGAAGCGCTCCGCCAGCAGCAAGAGGAGCGCGCGGGCCCCACCTCCGTGGTTCCGTGTCCCGGGGCTCCAGCGCAGACTTGGATCTCGGACCCCGGCGGCCGCCGCCTCCTCCTCCGGGCTCCACTGGCTGCTCCCCGGGCGCAGCTGTGCCAGGAGCAGCAGCGCGGCCAGCAACATCGCGCGTCCCGCCGGCCTCATGATCCCGCCGGCCCTGGACACACAGGCGCAGCGCAGTGTGTGAGGTGCGCCTCGGGCAGCCTCAGGGGACGCCGCTCCCCTTCCCGAGCACATCCAGCGCCCCTGCCCGGCCCCTGCGACTGCCGTCCGGTGCCCACAGCCTTCCCGCCAGCCCCAGCGGTTCCCAGCCCTGTGCCACCCTTTTCTCCCGCCCTGCCTCCCTCTTGGGGTGTCGCGTTGGGTGAGCTGAGCGCTGTCCTGGTGCTGAGGGAGTCTGGGCAGACGCGCAGAGCCACTCACAGTTCGCAGGAGAGCAGAGCCTCTGCACCCTGCAGGCCGGAGCTCCAGTCTCTGTCCCTTGGGGAGGGCTGAGGGCGCCTCGGGGAACACGGGGTCTGTCCCGGGACCTACGCCAGCCTTATATAGCGCCAGGACAGCTCCGGCTGACGTCAGCGAGGAGCATGCACTGATTGTAGAGCACTGACAGCCGCAACTCTGAGTCCGACCCTACGGCTGCGAGACCCCAAGAGCGCGCCAGAGGACACCAGACTTTGTGTTTCTGGAAATGACACCGGACTCAAGAGAAAGAGAAGCCTTCTGGGGCGTAAAGATTGCTCTGGGAGCCACGAGAGTTCTTCACTCGCTTAGAACGCCAGGAGGGACTAGGGGGCCGGCCAGTCCCTAGACCAGACTAGTCCAGATCACCCTTCTCTGGCACAGGAAAGGGAGGCAGGACTGTGGTGCTGTCCATGGTGCTGACCTTGTCCTCAGCCTCTGAAAGGGGCCAGAGACCTTGGGGAAAATGCTGTGCTGCTCAGATCCAGTTCCTTGCCCCAGCTATCTGTTCTATAAATGGAGGCAATCAGGATGGCACTGCTGGCCTTCAGCTACCACCATGGTACCCTACCCAAGAGGCAGTTTGAGTTGCCAGGATTCGTGATCTTCTTCCAGCCCCAGGATCTAAATCCTAGGGCTGTCTGACTGACATGCCAAAAAAAGAGGGCCTCTCAACTTGGGGTGCTTTCAGATAACAAAGGCTGGTCCATCTGCTTCTTGGTTTGCCTCAAAGCTGAAGTTTAGCCAAGTTAAATTTTCTCCTGGGAATCACAGCAGGAATATTATTTTATCGCTGACCTCCAGGTTAAGATCACTGAGTAGGAAGTAAGAAAACTTGGCTTCTTAGTCTGTTTGAGCTGCTGTAACAAAAATACCATAAGCTGGGTGGCTTATAAACAACAAGCATTTATTTCTCGAAGTTCTTGAGGCTGGGAAGTCCAAGATCACGGTGCCAGTAGGTTTACTGTCTGCTGAGGACCTGCTTCTTGCTGTCTCCTCAGGTGGCCTCTTTTGTAAGCATACAGATCCCAACAGGTCCCTACCCTCATGACTGAATCACTTCCCAAAAGTCTCACCTCTAATACCATCACCTTGGGCATTAGGTTTTTACCATATCAACTTGGGGAGATACAAACATTCAAACAATGATAGCACATGTTCATGTTTCTACTCTGCCACTAACTCACAGTGTGGACAGGTCACTTCACTTCTATGGACCTCAGTGTCCTCATCTGTAAAAGAAGATTAGGGTTTGGGGGTCTCCAGACTTCTTTCCAAACCCTGGAAAATGACACTCCCCAGTCATTTTCTGCTGGGTCTTACTCATTGCCTCTGCAGGTTCCAGATTACCTATTTAGAAATATATTTACAGAGGCACCATATAAAGAGTTTGAGGGGATCTCCCCCAAATTGGAGCTACACTGGGACTGGGAAGGGTTAGGAAAACAGCTGTCTATGAAGAGTGGGGAAAAGTGGTATCTGCCAGGATATGGGTATAATCTAAAGTTGACAAAATGATATGTTTCAACAAATATTTATGGAGTGCCTACTGTGTGGTGCGTTTTCGCCATTTCAATAGGAGTCAGGTTACATTTTAGAGTGAAATGGGCCATTTCAGGGTGCTAACCCCATTAAGTTCTGACCAGCCACCAAACCCTGTGAAGACCAATGTGCTCGCTTTGAGGAGATGGTCCGAGGAGGAGGTGGCCCTTCCAGGGTCAAGGTGCATCACTACAAGGTGGAAGTGATGAAGTGAAGCTGACTTAGAGCCGATGTGCCTTCCAGGACAGGTAGGAGTTCCAGATAACAGCAACACACTGGACCACAGCCAACCTAAGGAACAGGGACAGCACCATGAAGAAGAAGAAGTATAAGGAGGAAGCCAGGGGGAGAGAAGGGAAAGTATAGCAGACAAAGAGCGAATATCTCCAAGAATGTCCAGATCTAGGTCTCCTCCTTCAGCCCCCATGGATGGATGTGTGGCTCAGATGAGAGGACAACCAGCTCAGGTGCTGGTGCTGACCCATAGCTCCGTCTCCTGGACAAGAGCCTCAAAGTTAACTGCCCCCCAGCAGCCATTTTGCCATGCATGGCTCTTTATCCATACTCCATCCAAGTTCCTTCTAAATACACATCTGTCTTGTACAGCTGAGATCTCATCTTCCAAAAATGCCTGCCATTTAAAGCAGTACCTCCTTCTATTTTAAATATACTTCACTCTAATTTCAAAGAGCATTTCCAGGACTCTAAAGTTTGATTTGGTTCACAAGTCTGTATTCCTTTTAGTTATAGTGTTCATGTCCATTCTGACCTTGTCTCCTCTGAAGAGTTTCATGATTTCCTCTGTTCCCAAAGCCCCCTCACCTCCAATAATTTTAACCACTCATCTTGTTTCCACTGTATTTATTTTTATTGAGTTTTCAGCCACTACCCTGCTTATTTAGGGTAAAATATTTTTCAGTGGAACTAACCTGACCATGTTCCTACTTGACTCTGACCTACAATTCTGACTAACCTAGGCTGTAGTACTGTCCCTACAGTTAGGCCATCAAAGGTAAAGAGCCCAGGTGGGATGGAGACGAGGGCTGTGGAGAAAGATCCTCCCTAGGAAGATGAGAGGTCAGCAGGCAGACGCTCTGGGACGTTCTATAACATAAGAGATTCTGAACAAAGTGCTCAGGAGTCTGAGCTCTGACCAGGGCAGGGTGTTCTGGGTGGGGGCGGCGGGGGGAACGTGTTCTAAGGTAGTTCAAGGTTAAAAATGAGGATCACTTTGTCTCCAACTGTTCATAATATGCATCTTCCTTGAAGGGTGGGGTGGGGATCTGGCATACCTGTAATGAAGAGGAACCAGGTAGAAGTTGGCCAACTGCACGGCAGGCCAGAGCTACGAGAGAGAGAAGGGAAAGGTTGGGGGGCTGCTTCCATCACGCGACGCCAGACTCACGGCCTTGCCTGGTCTGACTCCAGCTTCTCCAGACAGAAACACGTGGCACTGGGTGAGTGCTTCCCTGATTACAGTGCCCATGTGGGTGTGAGGAGTAATCCCGATGGAGGAATTTCTGTGTCAGGAGGACCCCCAATCCCTGGGCATTTCTGGACTCAAGAAAGCAGAAGAGGCAGCTGAGGCACCAGCTCTTACATAGTAGTTGGTGATGAGAGCATCAGGAAAATCCTGAGGAGACAAGAGAAGGAACAAGTGAACACTGGCACTTCCGGGCACCTCGGACCTACCGGTGCCGACTGCCAACTGGCATGAGTATCGCACACAGACTTTGGCTCAGAGAAGACACCCCTGCACCACAGACCCCGGCTCCTCTCCTCCAGAGCTAGGCTCTGCCTACATCTCCACCCCTCCCTGCCTCATTCCTCCGGGTCTGCCGGTTCACCAGCCAGAAAGCATCCCCACACAGGGCCAGCTCACCCGCTGGAGTTTGGCCCAGTTGTCCTGGGCTGACAGTCCATTGAGGGTCCCAACCAGTGGGAGGAAACAGCCCAGAAAACATGGGGCAAAGCCCCCCTAGGGAAGAGAAATTAAAGTGCTGTGAGGACCTAAACCCCTGCCCTCCTGCAACACAGCTCACCCTTCCCAAATCCCTTTTCCTTCTGCTCACCTGATCCAGCAGCATCTTCTTTAGTGCATCCACCTTGGTGGTGCCAGGAATGAGCCGGTCCAAAACTCTGTACCAGCCTCCTACCACAGGGCCCTGAAAGGAACCCCCAGAGAGGTGAGCGGGGATGTGGAGGGGACACCAGGATTTTACATCACAAAGCTGCAATCTCAAATATTAGAAACCAACCCCCAAGGGGAGCAGACACTCAAGGATGGCTTAGATGTGAGAGGGTCCAATGGAAACCAAAGGACAACAAGGAACTGAGACCACTGTCCAACACACCAGCAGCCCTGCTGTCGGCAAAACTTACCACAAAGCCACAGCCCAAGGAGGCCATGGTCAGGGTCCGGCCAGCCTGGTGTGCCCGCAGACCTCGCCTCTCCACCAGCTGCTGTGAGATCATGTCACCCAGGCCCATCAGAGACCCTGTGCGGGGCACACAGGTGTCATCAGGACACCTCCCAGGGACAAGATGCCATCCCGAGGAGGGAGGTAAGTCTACTGAATGAATAAGGCTTGGCACTCTGAGGCCCAGGGCTTCAATCTGGGGCAAATGGCCAGTCCCTTCCCACTGCTTCTAGAATGGTGACACCTCCCCAAGGATGGTGACACTTCACATGTGTCCTATTAGAAATTAGGCTGAGCAGCCTGGAGCATGTCAGGGCCAAGAACCCTGCAGTGAGCAGTGAAGAGAAGTTAGCCTCAGAAACCACAGGTAGAGGAAGGAGAATCTGAGGTGCTGGGGGCTGAGAAGCACTGACTGTTGGAACTGGAAAGGCCTTCCAGATATTTTTGTGCAAACCCCTTATTCCAGAGGCTTGGAAATGAAGGCCCAGGAGTTCACAGAGTCATTAAGTGGCAGAGCCAAGAAGAACCAGGTGGCTTGATTTCCTAGATGGTATTCCTTCCAGAATGCTGTACTATGAACAGATCATGTGCAGAATGATAAGGAACCCTGTGGTTTTTTTCTCCTCCGCTGAAGGCAGGACCCTGGCCAATGTCCTTCATCTTGGTTTTGGGAGTTCTTTTTGTGGAGAACAGCAAGAATAACTCTTTCTAAAGCTGAAGTACTAAAATGATCCCAGGCAGGGGATGATCGGCTGAGCTGCTAAGAGACCCTGCAAGGAAGGGTCTGGTCACCTCCCAGCACAGGCAGGTCGACCCAGACTTCCCATTCACAGTCTCAAACTGAGCCGCCAACAGGCATGAAGGGCATCTCTCCTCGGTCTTTGCACCTGCTTCCCCCCCCCCACAGACACCCAGCTCCAAGTAGCACTAGTTGGCCACTCACACCCAGAAACCAAGACAGAAATCATCACTGTTTACAGAGCGCCCCCCACCCCGCCCCGTTGGTAACGGTGGGTGATGGTTTCTAGCAAACACACACTTCTAGGGCCACTTGCGAGCAACCGTATGACCTCCAGCTTGCCCGTCCATCTCACTGAGTAATGAGAGCCCCCTCCAGCCCCGCAGCCACCACCTTCCCTGTGCCCTCAATTAGCCCTGGGCAAACACATCCTCATCCTTCAACCCCACTTCTTGGCCCGGAGCTGGTGCTGACGTCTGTGCTGGCTGCATACTCACTGCTCCCCCCCCCCCCCCCCCCCCCCCCCACAACACACCCCCGGAACAGCCCTGCCCATGCAGCCTCATCAGAGGCAGTTGAGTAAGGCTGCGAACTGGGGCACCCACAGTGACCGAGGCTGCTGGCCTCAGCTGCTGGGACCCCTAGCACACCCATCAAAGGAGCCCTGCCTCTCCTCTCCCTGAAACTCCTGAAGTGGTAGAGGCTCTTCCCAAAACATGGCTAGCAGGGACAGAATCCTAAACGTGTTTGTTCTCTTATCCCCCACATCGAGCCTGGCAGGGACTCAGAAAATAACCAAGGAGAAATGTCAAATGGACCACCCCAGACAACAGGACTGCCCTGGGAAGGACATGGAGAATGCTAAGTCTGGCCTGAAGGGTGCACACCGGCTCAAGGTGTGAGAAGCAGTGGGGCTGAAGATTTCTCCCCCTCCATGCAGTTAGCACTTAGCTCCCTGTCCCCTCTAACAACCTGGGGTCACCAGCTGAACACTCAGGGAAAGGAGGGAGCTGCTGTGGCCATGTGACCCTGAAAAGGCCCAGGGAGGGTGGAACAGGAATAGAGTTGCTGCTTAAATGAAAGGACCAACAGTTTGACATTCTACTTTGGCAAGATGTTTACAGTATACAAAGGACTCTCACACATTTAATCTTCACAAAAGGTCTGGAAGATAGAGGTTACCTCTTCACTGAATGTCTTTGAGAATGAGGTGACTTGGTAAGGAAGGGAGCTGGGCCCTGAACACAGGCCTTCTCTCAAGGGGAAATGGGAGGCCAGGAATTCCCAGCAGAGGCAGAGACCTGGGCTCAGGTGCCAGTAGGCACAGAGAGGCTCCTGTGGCTTCAACTCACAGGAGCTTCCTGCCCAAACAAGGGCCCAAAGGCCCGCATATCAGACATTTCCTGGATTAACACACTTCCTGTCTTCTACTCCCAGAAAGTGAACCCCTCTGCTTCCTGTCATCCTGTGGGGAGGGCAAGCAGCAATACCCTTGGGAAGGAGAGTCGCAAAGAGATGTGTGTTTTCACTCTTCGTGGCTTACCACAATCACACAACATGCTAAAGGCATAGCAGGAGTGAAAACCAAAGTCCCTGACTTGTAGCCAGGTCCTGGAAGCCTGCAGCCTTGGAGAGAAGTGGATTTCAGGCCCCCAGACCATGACCATCAGGCCTGAGACGTTACCAAGTGAAAGGGCAGCAGCAGGAGAGAGGTGGTATAGAGCCTGTGGCCCTGTCTGTTCTGTCCATTTCAGACAGAACCAAGCCCAGTTCCTTCTCTGCATACGGATCATCAGGCCCCCTGGGCCAACAGCAGCTCTAGCGCAGTCTAAGGCTCTGGTCTAAGCCTGCATTTCTGGTCCAAGTGATTGTGTGAGCAGGAAGGGCTGGCATTCGGATTCCTCATCCCACCTTCCCCAACCCAAAATCCAGACCCAAACCAACCTAGGCTCGGGGCGTCCTCTTGGACCCATTTCGTTGGTCTTGACCCTCCAGTGCTCTGGCTTTCCTTTCCTTGGCCTTGTTTCTGAGGGATCGGAGCCTGGGGGCCTGCAGAGACATAATGCCTGAGCCCCGATGGGGCAGGACAAGGGGCTGCTGGGCAGTGATGCCCCAATGCCAGGCTGGGCACAGAGCCCAGTGGGCAGACGCTGGCGCGGCTGTGACATCATGCCCCTGGGTAGGTGCCAGTTCTCATGCCGTCACTCACCACCGGATTCAGCAGGGTGAGGGGGTAGGGGTTGGAAGCGCCTGCCTCTGAGCACAGATCTATCTGGGACCACCCTCTACCAGCAAGTGGAAAAACCCCAACTTCCCATGCCCTCTTCCAAGGCACAGGTGGGGGTAAATTATCTACTTTCCCTGTTTTTGTTCCTCTCCTGGCTTTTGTGTGTAGAATCTTAGATGCAGGAAACTAAAGTATGAATGGAAAATGAAGAAACTGAGGGGCAGGAAGTTGGAATGAGGAGCAGGAAGGTGTCCTAGACTATGAGAGGCCTGGGTTAGCAGGTATAGCTGCTGGCAGGGGGCCCGAGGGCCGTCTCACTTCTCTCCAGAAGTCTCCACAATTAAATAGCTGCCTAGGGGTAGGGGCTTGGTATGGCAGGGCCCCTAGGGAGCTGAAGTCCAGCAGTGAGAGGGCAGTGCCCTCCCCACCGTGGCCTGAGCCCTTCTCACTGCTAAAAAATAAGACACATGGAGAGTTCCACAGCTTCTCAGGAACCTAAGCCCAGACTAAGTAGGGTTAGTGCCCTGGGGGTGCCCCCTTCTAATGGCAGCTCTACCAGCGACCACAAAACTTCACGCATGTCCCTCCTCCCTATGCCTCGGTTTTCTTCTTAGTCTCAGGGGTGGGGCTGAATGTTCTCTTATGTCTGCAGAGCTTGCACATTCAGACTCCAGGGAAACCAGTGTCTGCAGAAGCTTCCACAGCAGCACTAGAGTGGCCCGAGATGGATGGAGCGGGGCCCTGGGCCCACTGGAGGCTGGAAGGGCCCTCAAAAAAGGAGGGGAGAAGGCTGATTCAGACTCTGCCCCAGCTGCCTTGTTCCTGACTCTGACTTGGCTCAAACTGGGTGTATCAGACACTTCTTTTGAACCAACTCAGATCTTTTTGATTCAATCATCTCTTTCAGTCACCACTGCAGTTCACCCGATAGGTCCTTGTCCTGAGACAAGGGGCTCACATCTGAGACAAGCTCCATTCCTCGGGCAGAGCTACTGATGGGGGGAATGGTGCCGGAGCAGTGTGGTAGAGCACAGAACATGGGCATCCATACTCCATGTGGCAAACCTCTGACCAATGTAGGACGGAGCCAGTGGATAAAGGTTTCTCCTTGTCTCCAGAAAAGACTATTCACCCACAGACCCTAAGAGGCATTTCAAAAGAGCCTCTCAGTCAGTTATAAGGGGGTGAGTAGCCATGGGCCCTAAGTAATGTCCATTTGATAAAGCATCCTTATATTGACTGTCCCTTTCCCCCTTCTCCCACCTTGGGATTATTTCCTACCAAACTACCTGCACTGATGCTTCAGACTCTACTTTCTGGAGAGCCAAGGTAGATGGCTATCCAAGTCCAATTTTACAGCAAGTGGAACAAACCCAACCCAAACACCACTACAAAAAGAAGAGCTTGCTCTGCTTGGCCTGCCAACACTCAAATAAAGGCCAAACTCCTGGAACCTTTTAAGTTTCTTGAGCATTTTTTTATTTCTAAAGCCTTTTCACACAGGCAATCCCTATACTGACTCTGTGAGGTCATATAACTAAATTCAAATTCTAAATGAGGAAACAAAGGCTCAGAGAGGTTTATCGTCTTGTCTTGACTGACAAAGCTACTAAGAGTTATGGTTCAGAGATTCAAATCTTGGTCTTTGAGCTCCAAGTCTGAAATCTCTATTCTGTTTTCCAGTGTGATGAGCTATCCCAAGGGACCTTAGGAACTACTGTGCTGGGATCTAAAAACAGCTCAGTGAGCTAAATCCACCGCCCCTCTTTATTTGCAGTTTGATTTGAATACACTGAGCAGCAGGGAAGGAAGAGTCTGAAAGGTTTGGGAAAGTCTGAGGAAAGTGTTAACTAGAGGTTACTTCAGGTTGAGATGTTGGTACAGCCTCAGGAAGATTGGGAGTGAGGAGCCCCAGGGCTCCAGCGCCAACCACCAGTATCCCCAGCTCGACCACATAGCTGCATTTGGACCTCTTGGAGCTCCAGCTCCTATCTTGATCCGCTGCAGATCCCTTGGGGAGGGAAACACAAGGACAGTCCTTCCCCTCCGTATTCCTGATGGCCACGAGGGAGAGAGGGAGAACCTTCCTTCCGGCAGTTAGGGTCCCCGAGGGAATCTGAGGCTGGGCAAAGGGCCCAGCGTGTCAGTTCCCATCACAGCCACCCAGTCCAGCATGAGTCACCACACGCACAGCCAGGTGAGTCATGCTGGCTGACGGACACTCCGAGGACAGGATGGAGGGTAGCTGGGCACAGGAGTCTGGAGAGGGGCCCAGGGAGGGGCAAGACTCCTTGGCCAGTCTCTGAATGAAGCTTCTAGTGCTGACGTGGGGCTATTCCAGTAGAAGGATTGCTGTTGTACTCTGGCTTTCAGTAGTCCCCTCATCCCCCACCCCTTTTAACAATCTTCCTCTCAGAAGCCCACAGTCCTCATCAGAATCTTGTTCTCTTTCTCTAAACATAGGCAAGACCTCACCATAACCTTGTGACCCCTGCACTGCCCCGACAGTCACAGGCCTTCCAATCCCTCCCACCATAAAACAAAGCTTCATGACATCTCCTCTCATGGTAGCTAATCTGCAAAATAAAGATGATAATACAGGTAAATCACTGGGTTACCTTTGTGAGGTCACTACTCAATCACTGGATTTAGAGTAATAATAAAACCTCGATTAGTATATTGTTTGAGGATACATCCATAGATAGTAAAACTATAAGACAAGCAAAAGAATGATATTAAACAAAATTCAGGAAAGTAATTATCTCTTGGGGTGTATGAATGAGGGACAGGCATTCAAGGGGTCTCAAAGCTGGGTGCAGATTCAGAAGTTTTCAGTTGTTTTATTTAAAGGGTACACACATATCTTCATCATTCTTTTGTGTGTTAAGATATATTTCCCAATAAGAACAATACTAACAAAAATACACTGGGGTAAGAGTCTGATTCTAGCACTTATTAGGTGTAGGATCTACCATGGACTCAAATAATCTTAACACACTGACTTTGTGGGGACCCATGTGTGTTGAAAGTGCTTTGCACATTGTGAATTGTTAAAGGAGCCTTTGTGACTGTTCGCTTTCTAAGTTAAGGGCTCCTGGGGCTAATGCCTTTGTCCTAAAGAGATGACCCTTCAGGTTTGTGAGGACTTTCAGATCCTATGTTATAGCGAGGTCACCTATGCATACTCCTTTCCTTATAAACAGACTTGGGGACCCTCCCTCCAAAACAGACTGGGGTGAGAGCCAATCTTTCAAGGAGGTTGAACAGAAGCAAGAAATGAGGTGAGGGAGTGTGTGCAGCAAGCTTCTCTCTGGTACCACCTAGGTCCCACAGGACACTCACCAGCTGTCAGGACCTGTACTTTCCATGGGTGAGCAGTCAGAGCCCGCTGGTAGGCCCGCCAAAGTGCCATTTCCTGCCAAGCCAAGAGGAGAGGGGGGTCACCCCCACTGCCCCTCATTACAGTTAAAGAGACTTTTGTTTCTCCCTTGTGACCACTCCTCCCACCCGCTCTAAAGGGGCAGAGGCTTTCTGGACAGCTTCCTGTCACAGGGGTCGCCTTTGACAGTCGGGCAAGAGAAGAAGACTATAGGCGGCTATGGAATCCCCTGGGCTGCCACCCTCCACCCCACCCCCATCCCCGGAACAGAGCTATCTGGGATCTCCGTCCGGACCACACAGGACACGTCTGCTCGGACTTTCATCCAGAGCCTTGTGGGTCCCCAGATTCAGGCTCTTAGTTGGCACCAGGCAGCATCCTTCCAGAGCCCAACTCCACACCGGAAATAAGCTCCCTGACTCCCTGAACCTGCAACGGTCCCACGCACCCTAGGCGCTCGCGGGACGCGTCGCTATGAACCGGTGACCGAGAATCTCCAGCTACTCACCTGGGCGTGAGCGCGGCCTCTCCCACGTGACCTGAGCGGGAGGAGGGACTTCCGCCCCAAGTCCCGCCCTGTCCGCCCGGCTGACTACTAGGCTTTCCCTCCGTCCGGGGCCGGAACAGGAGTGGATCCAGCCTTTGAAACCGCGAAGGATTCCTTCTCGTTCTGCGCCGGGTCTCGTTGCTGAGCCCACTAGCCCACCAGGGTCCCTCTACCTCCTTCTGCTCCTTCTCTCCTCGGTGTCAGGGCCTCTTTACCTGAATAGACCCTCACCTTTCCCGTGTCCTGGAACTGGCCAAGGTCCAGACGTAGTTCTAGGTCTCAGGAATCAGGAGTTTGGAAACTTGTTAGCCATAATTATATGTGCGTCTGTTACTTTTTGAAAAATGTTAAGTTCTTCACTAGCCTCAACTGTGAACTCCTGAATGGGTGGAACTGGGTCTTGCTTCGGGTTTGTCGTCCTCCTAGCCAACTAGTTCAATGTTTTGTCCACAACAGCCTTTAGAAATGCTGCGTAAAGATGACTCTTCCATGGAAAGCATTAGGATTATAGAACCTCAGGTTTAGGCGCTGGTTTCATAACTAAGCAGGCTTGCAGCCTTGGTCATCCCTAGACTTGAAGTTCCTCATCTGTGAAATGGTTTTCACACTGGGCTCCTCAGTTCAGTTCACTCAGTCGTGTCCACCTGTTTGCGACTCCATGGACTGCAGCACGCCAGGCCTCCCTGTCCATCCACCAACTTCCGGAGCTTACTCAAACTCTTGGTCATTGAGTTGGTGATGCCATCCAACCATCTCATCCTCTGTCAACCCCTTCTCCCACCTTCAGTCTTTCCCTGCATCAGGGCCTTTTCAAATGAGTCAGTTCTTCGCATCAGGTGGCCAAAGTATTGGAGTTTCAGCTTCAGCATCAGTTCTTCCAATGAATATTCAGGACTGGTTTCCTTTAGGATGGACTGCTTGGATCTCCTTGCAGTCCAAGGGCTCCTCAGTTTTACAGATTTATAGATGTTTGGGGAGAGGGGTATCACAGGTTCTTCTTTATCTCAACTTTTAAAAATATGTATATATTTCTAAGGGCTTCCCATATAGCTCAGTTGGTAAAGAATCCGCCTGCAATGCAGGAGACCCCAGTTTGATTCCTGAGTTGGGAAAATCTGGAGAAGGGATAGGCTACCCACTCCAGCATTTTTGGGCTTCCCTTGTGGCTCAGCTGGTAAAAAATCTGCCTGCAATGCAGGAGACCTGGCCAGGTTCAGCCCCTGGGTTGGGAAGATCCCCTGAAGGGAAAGGCTACCCACATAAAAATATGTATTTCTAGAAAACCCACATTTAAACAAAGGGGCCCACAACTACAAGTGTTTGGAAACCAATAGATTAGGTGATTTCCTAATCTCTTTCCAGCTCTAACATTTGTAACAGTTTGTGAATATACTGCAACATTCTTTCTAGGGTAGTAGAAACTTTTGCAAGATCCCTGGCAGATGTCAGCCTGGCACCCTTTGCTTAATTATCCCCAGGGAGCTCACACTTCAGGAGGCAGCCTTGTCTGACTCAGGCTCTTTACCTAACTAGCTCCAGTCCCCCATTTACAGAATTCCTGTATGATTAAGGAAGGGAGAATCCTGTAAGAGATACTGGAGAAATGCAGTTAGGAAGCAAGAGAATTCAATGTCACAAACTTTTAACTAAAGGTTTCTATACACAAAACACCATGCTAGAGGAATTTATACTAGTAAATGTAATAGGAGACCAAATGTGCCAAGTTGGGAAGTTGAAGTCAGACTACCACCACTCAGCAGTTCTATGACCTTCTTCGGACTGCTTAAGCTCTCAGAATCTTTATCAAGTGAAATGGGGCAATATTGACTTTTCAGGGTTAAATTAAGTAATATATGTTAAAGTACTTGAAATAGATCAAGTGCCTAACATATATTCATTTAGCATCATTTCCTTCCCCATGGGTACACATGGGAGAGAATAGTTTTTACTGGAGAAATCTGGGAAGCCCTTTGGTGAAGGTGGAATCTGAGCTGGGACCTTGAACAATGAATAGTACTTAGGGGGAGATGGTGGAAAAGGACATTCCAAGAGGAGGGACTAGTAAGAGCAAAGGCACAAAGGAGGAAAAGTGCAGGAACCCATGGATAAGAAATGGTTGGAAGGGGAGTGGCCTGGGGAGTAAATGGTTTACGGTAGAGAAAGAAAGCAAGGGATGAGAGCATTTTCCTGATTTTCTTTTGGAGGCTGAGGTGAGGGCAGAACCAGCAGCATGGGCAGGGCTGCCGATACCAGCCTACAGCCTCAATGACAAGTGTCCCCAGGCCCCATCTTTCTACCACTGAAAGTGGGATTTCATGATGTAGTGCCAAGGGGCTACTGTGTAGAATGAACAAAGCAACACTGCAATGGAAAGCACTTCCTTCCAACCTTCACAAAAACAAACTGGCATAATCTGAGCTAGCACAATAGGATGGTGCAATACTTGGCACTGATGTGAGTTGTGGTCCCTCTGCTGCTAATGGTCTGGGTTGCCTCCAGGTCTGCTTCCTCTTCTGCACAGGGAAGGAATTGAGCTACTTGATTCCTTTCCCCGTAAAGGAAATTTTCTGACATATGATAAATTCTTCACTGAAGAGGCTGAAAGTTCTTCCCAGATATTTGGCCAATCAGTCTAGGGTTTTATTCCAAGAAGGCACTGAACTAATCTCCACTTCCTTCAATAGGAGCTGGCTGTGTGCTTTTCTCTACTTCCTGAAGTCATCTGACTCTTCCCCTGCCCCCACAACCAAACCTCAGGTTATACTCATACATTCAAAGACTACTGTTTGCCTAGTTCTCCTTGGCGGCGCGGGTGGTCCATCCTTGCTTAACAGGCAATATTACGGTCACTGTGAGTCTGCAACATCCCACAAGAGGACTCTTAACAAGATGAGATATAATATACTACTGTGCTTGGATTTTAAATACCTCCTATACAGAGAATTGAAATAAAGTAGCTAAATATGTTTAATAAGTCAACAACGTGACAAAAGGATCAAAAATCATGACGGGTAAAAGAATGGTTAAAGTAATTGATGATATTTAATCTAGAGAAGAAAAGACTTGGGAAACACATGATAGCTATTTTTAAATACTTAAAAGAGCAATCACAGGGAAGAGTGACTAGATTTCCTAACACCCATGGTAAAATGTATAGAGGTATACTCTTTGACTTGATATAAAGGAAGATTTTAAAAACATGACTGTCTAGGAGTGCTCAAGAAGGGTCAGATGACCAGTGATTGGGAATATTTCATAAGTAGGAGCAAGTAAGATCTGAGCCACTCTTCTGTTGGCAAGGTGTCTGTGGTGTGTTAGGAAGTCCTATAAGCAGCTTCAGTCCAATGAGTTACCATCACCTGCTCGTGGGCCTGTGTGTTGGGTACTCTAAAGAGGAAGTTAGGAAGGCAGTAATATTGGATCCAGAATATAGTCAGACAGGAGCCTTCATGCAGATACCCTTTCCAGTTCTCCAAACACCCACTCACATGTGGTCTCAAAAACACCCAGTACCTTTACTTAGCTTTACCCACTTCACAATATGCTCAATATGAGCAATTTGACTCCCAAGCCTAGGTCAGGCTGAGTGTTTCTTGTGAGTCATAGTTTTATGCTGAGACTTGAGAGTTTGTGGAGGGAGAACCCCCCTGCCCGCGGGGGGCCATGATGACAGGAGAAGTCTGTGGAAGGAGAGGAATCTAAGGGGTCCTGGGGAGGCAGGTCTAAAGATCCAGGCCTGGCAGCATCACTGTCCAGGAAGGCCCCAGTTCCTATGGCTGTGTGCTCGGAGCCAACTGTTCTCGGCAGACTTCATTCCAAGGGTCCTGTGGGGACCATGACTAAGGACCGGGCAGAAGGCAATGGCTGGTTGGAGGAAAGCCAGGCCCTGGAGAGGGGGAGGCCAGCTGGAACATAGCACTGAAATGGGCTCGGCTTTCAAGCTGCATACGGTGGCCCAGTGGACAGGTGAGTCCACGGACAAAATGGATCCGAACCAGCCCCGACTGCCCTCCAGAGACCAGCCATCCATAGGAGTCCAGGTTTGGACTGAAACGTACCTGTGAAAAGAAAAGAAAACAAAAGCGACGCTCAGAGTTGGTACTTCAGGGTGAGTCCGAGCTGTAAGAGCAAAAAGAAGGGCCTCAATCTGAAAGAACAGGACCATGATGGGGTGAGAAGCAGGATGAGAAGACCGTGAAGAAGGCGTCTGTCATGCTCCGGAGGATGAGCGTGTGGAGCTGTTTCCTCTCCTGCGCCATCTGTTGTCTTTTCCTCTCTGATTACATGGCTCACAGGCCCAGAGTTGGGAGGAGATGAGATGAAGGACAGGAAGATGAGGGGTAAGGTTCCCACCTTGTGAATAGCTTCCAGCTGCAGCCGGTCCAGGCAGAGCCGCGTTTGCCCCTCTCCCTCCTGCATGCGCAACATCGGTTCTCTGTGGGGCAGACCGTGGAACGAACGCTGGGGAGGAGGGTATGAGAGGAGAGAGAAAGCGAGCAGATTCTTAGTTTTGCATCTTTGTGCTGCAACTCCTCCGGATCCCCTGCTATACAAGGACTCACGTCTTCTACGTTTTCTAATGCTGCACCCATTCTCCTGGCCTCAATTTACCAAATCTGTGTCTTGAAACAGCAAGTAGTGATGGTTGACCGTTTCAGCGTAAGTTCGAGCCTTGGGAGGGTTGGGGGCCCCAGATGAAGCAGAAGTGTGGTCTTGACCTTCAGGACTGTCCTGATATGGTATCAGATCTGCTTTATATATAGGCTAGAAAGAAGAATGTGAAATTAGGTCCTGTAATACTGAAGACCAGATAAAAGTAAAAGAGAGAAAATTGGTTTGGAGCAGGAAAGACTTGGTAGAAGAAACGGGAATGTTTAAACC